TGAGTGACCAAACTACCCAGAGTAGAGTGACCAAACTACCCAGAGTTGAGTGACCAAACTACCCAGAGTTGAGTGACCAAACTACCCAGAGTTGAGTGACCAAACTACCCAGAGTTGAGTGACCAAACTACCCAGAGTTGAGTGACCAACTACCCAGAGTTGAGTGACCAAACTACCCAGAGTTGAGTGACCAAACTACCCAGAGTTGAGTGACCAAACTACCCAGAGTTGAGTGACCAAACTACCCAGAGTTGGAGTGACCAAAACTACCCAGAGTAGAGTGACCAAACTACCAGAGTTAAGTGACCAAAACTACCCAGAGTTGAGTGACCAAACAAACCCAGAGTTGAGTGACCAAACTACCCAGAGTTGAGTGACCAAACTACCCAGAGTTGAGTGACCAAACTACCCAGAGTTGAGTGACCAAACTACCCAGAGTTGAGTGACCAAACTACCAAGTTGAGTGACCAAACTACCCAGAGTTGAGGGGACCAAACTACCCAGAGTTGAGTGCCCAAAAACTACCCAGAGTTGAGTGAACCAAACTACCCAGGTTGAGTGACCAAAAACTCCCCAGAGTTGAGTGACCAAACTACCCAGAGTTTAGTGACCAAACAAACCCGATTTGAGTGACCAAACTACCCAGAGTTGAGTGACCAAACTACCCAGAGTTGAGTGACCAAACTACCCAGAGTTGAGTGACCAAACTACCCACTAATTAACAATAACACACTCAAACACAGACTGATACTTTCCATTGTCAATAATTATCTCCAGTATGGTAATTCAGACTAAAACTTGCATGAGGAATGATTAATTTGCAATCACTTCTTTTTTTTGAAGGGGGGGGGAGGGGGGCTGGATAATGTTGGAAAGACCTCAACATAGACGTGTTTTCTCTTAAGAATGATTTGTATATACATGACAGAAGAATGTAATCCTCTAAGTAATTTCAACAAGCTTAGATTTCTTGTATATAATGACAGTTACCTAAAGTAGCTACCAGTATATATCTTAAATAATTTATTATTATTTTTCTTATATAAATATAAAATATAAAACATATATATATATAATATATATATTTTATAATAATATATATATATATATATATATATATATATATTTATATATATATATATATATATATATATTATATTTTATATATATATTTATATATATAAAAATATATATAATAAACATACTAATCCCAGTAATTTTGCTTCCCCATGAATATCTTCAGCACAATGTGCCAAATGGAAGTTAACATTATCATTGCTACTCTCACTCAATAGCCTTTTTAATTAATCTTGGGTTTAAAGTCTTTGTTAATAGAGACAAATTGGCTTAAAATCATTTTAAAACTGAACAAATAACACCCGCAGCCGATAACTTACAATATACTTCAGAACAATTCCTTGAGGATCACAGCACATACAGCGTGGTGGTGTTGTCAACACAGTTTTAGCAATAAATATATTAATTGGGAATAAATAAATAAATCAGGACTTTTTTTTAAACGACGAAAATATACTATGAGTAACCTAAACCAGTGTCAAGAAACACGGTCAAAACTCATCTAAGAAAAGAAGATGCAGGTTAGGAAGGGAATGATGTTCCCTCATCAGACAGAGATGAAGAGTCACAGAACTTCTCGAACGTTTTAGACCTCGTGGAATAAAATAAATAATCGCTATAGAAACTGAAAATGTCGAGCAAAATCTGACAGCATCAATTAATGTAAGGAGAAGACAGAGCGGAAGATGATGTCAACGACAATGAAACACAAAATAATTTTTCTCGTGTGCAGAATCCCAAGACAAGATTCATCCAGCAGCTTTTCAATCTTAATTATAAAAGTTAACGTTGTATAACGTGCAAGTGTCATCTACTTGTCTGCTAGATGCCTCTTCTACTGACTAAAGTCATTAATCTTTATATTTAATAACAGACAAAGCTACAATAACATAAAGTTTCTCTAACTTAACACTGGAGACATAAATATATATGGTGCAGTTAGCCTCTTATATAATTATCTTCTTGTCACTTTATTTTTTTCTGTTGTGCAGAGTTAATATTTGACCCTGTTATCTTAGTCATTATTCATAGCTTCCTTCTTTATTATCTTAGTCATTATTCATAGCTTCCTTTTTATTATCTTAGTCATTATTCATAGCTTCCTTCTTTATTATCTTAGTCATTATTTATTGCTTCCTTCTTTAAATTTTCTTAGTCATTATTCATAGCTTCCTTTTTATTATCTTAGTCATTATTCATACTTCCTTCTTTATTATCTTAGTCATTATTTATGCTTCCTTCTTTATTATTTTTAGTCATTATTCATAGCTTCCTTCTTTATTATCTTAGTCATTATTCATAGCTTCCTTCTTTATTATCTTAGTCATTATTCATAGCTTCCTTCTTTATTATCTTAGTCATTATTCATAGCTTCCTTCTTTATTATCTTAGTCATTATTCATAGCTTCCTTCTTTATTATCCCTTTGTCATTATTCATAGCTTCCTTCTTTATTATCTTAGTCATTATTCATAGCTTCCTTCTTTATTATCTTAGTCATTATTCATAGCTTCCTTCTTTATTAAAGCACTAATACCCTTCAGAGCTTCTGGTATGATAGTCCAGTCGAATAATTGCCCACTATCATCTTTTTCTTCCTCATTATTCTTTATTCTATCTCCTGCTTCTTCGTTATTCTTGTTCTTGTTGTTTTTCCTCCTGTTACCAGTGTTCTTGTTACGGTTAACATTCATTTTGTTGTTTATTTGTTTTATGTCATCTTCGACTTGCACATCTTCTTCCCCATCTCTTATATTTCCCTTATTTCTGTTCTTATTCTTATTTCTTTTATTTCCATTATTTCTGGTTTTATTTTTCACTTCATCTTCGGTGTTCACAACTTCTTCACTCTGATCCTTATACTTATCATTTATCCTGTTTCCATCTCCTTTATTATCCTTGTTATGTTTTCTTCTGTTTTTATTATTCTTGTTATTGCTATTATTAAGTATGGCAGACAAGATATTACCTGCAGTCTGCTTGTTCTTCTTTCTCTTGTTTTTCCTCTTATTCTTATTTTTATTACGTCTCCTCACATTTTTCCTCTTTTTATTTCTATCGTCTTGATCACCGTCTACACCTACGTCTGGCCCTAGCACAGTGCCTATCCCAGGTAGGCCTACTGGAGCTGGGTTGCCTTGGCTAGGTACAACAGATAGGTCACTAGGTTCTTTAAGTATTGAATCTATTAGCTTATCAATACCTCCTTCTTCACTCTCTTCTTCCTTCTGTACACCTGCCTTATTTTTATTCTTGACCTTGTTACGTACTCTTGGGTTTACTGTGTTTTTTGAAAAGCAACCTTGCACGCGCGACCTTTTCCCTTTGGGATTTTCGTGATCCATTTACTGTAACACAGAGAGAATGTGATAAATTTACTAGTTTGCCCGGAATACATTTGTATACTAGAGGTTTTCTTTTGAGTCTACCAGTGTTTTATTGCAATTGAAGTATATTAATCTTGTGATGAATGGTTTGAAAAACCGACAAGTTGAAGATTGAGACACTTATGCAGCATATGGGAATCTTTATTCAGGAAACGTTTCGCCACACAGTGGCTTCATCAGTCCAGTACAAAGAGGAAGGCGTAAGGAGAGGAGGAGAATGAGGTAATCAGTCCCTCAACCTGGAGTCGATGTGTTCAGTCCATCAATCTTGTAGAATGTACAGCATAGGGCCGTAGACGTGGCTTATATACTGTAGTGAGGTGAGGTGAAGCAGGTGGAGGCGGGGTCATAGTGGTACCATCCACTAGTCGAAGTAGGTCTTCGTCCAAAGGTTGAACAAGTGTTGAAGAATTCTTTGTAACAAGATTGATGGAGGCTGAATTGTGGTAAACCACGTCTACGCCTATGCTGTACATTCTACAAGATTGATGGACTGAACACATCGACTCCAGGTTGAGGGACTGATTACCTCATTCTCCTCCTCTCCTTACGCCTTCCTCTTTGTATTGGACTGATGAAGCCACTGTGTGGCGAAACGTTTCCTGAATAAAGATTCCCATATGCTGCATAAGTGTCTCAATCTATATTAATCTTGTAAAGCATAAATAAATAAAAACTTGTATTGTCTGATAAATCCAATAATAATGTTCCCTCTGAAGCGCTTATTTCTTTTTAAGTAAAGTTAAGTCTTTAAAATTGTAAGATTATGATGTATAACGGTAAATTCACTTACATTAAGTATGCAAGTTTTGGGTTTGGTTTTGCATATATAAGCTCGCAGTTTTTATATGATAACCGAAGTCAGTGCGTCGCCTTATTTCCATTGTGGTCCTCAATCTTATCCCCCAGGATGCGACCCACACCAGTCAACTAACACCCAGGTACCTACTAGTAGGCTTGCTAGGTGAACGAGACAACAGGTGTAAGGAAACACGCCCAGTATTTTCACCCTTGCCTTGCAGGCACTGGACAAGCACCTAAAGTCGGTACCTGACCAGCCGGACTGTGGCTCGTACGTTGGATTGCGTGCACCCAGCAATAACAGCCTAGTTGATCAGGCTCTGATCCACCAGGAGGCCTGGTCACAGACCGGGCTGCGGGGGCGTTGACCCCCGGAACTCTCTCCAGGTAAACAGAGTGTGTGTGTGAGTCGAGAGCGTTGCCCACCAGACCACGGACACTCTAACAGTTCCTAAGTACTGGTGTTTGATGCTCTGTTCCGGCCACGGTATTTTGACTTATTATTTTTTCTTTAATAGTCTTAAGGGTACCCAGGTATTAGGTGTTGTTTCCAGTGGGGTCCTAGTTAGTGTATATAGGTATATTGCATGACGTCATATACTCCACTCTTAGTAACATTAATAATTTAATACCGTAGAAGCAACAGAAGCCAAATACGTCCTAAACTCCTGTATAACAAAAGATGGTGAACCATACGAGGAAATATTCATCATTATTCATTCACATTCCAAGTAACTCACCTGAAAGATGATATCCTGGTGTAGATCCCTGGGTAGTTACTGTCAGCACAGCCTATACCCCAGGACACTAGGCCTATCTGTGTGTACTGGTCACCACTGAGAGCCACCAGTGGGCCTCCACTGTCACCCTGTAAAACACCAGTAAATGTATACTAAACTCACTAGCATTTTCACTTAATGTCATTACATTTAGCGCGCGCACAGACACAGAGACTAGTCCCAGAGCTCAGGGGATCATCCTACGAAGAAAGGTTAGGGGAAAACTGCCTGACGACATTGGAGGACAGGAGGGTCAGGGAAGACATGATAACGACATATAACATACTGCGCAGAATAGACAAGGTGGACAAAGACAGGATGATCTAGGGAGGGGACACAGAAACAAGAGGTCACAATTGGAAGTTGAAGACTCAAATGAGTAAAAGGGATGTTAGGAAGTATTTCTTCAGTCATAGAGTTGTCAGGAAGTGGAATAGCCTAGAAAGTGACGTAGTGGAGGCGGGAACCATACATAGTTTTAAGACGAGGTTTGATAAAGCTCATGGAGCAGGGAGAGAGAGGACCCAGTAGCAACCAGTGAAGAGGCGGGGCCAGGAGCTAAGACCCGACCCCTGCAACCACAAATAGGTGAGTATACACACACACACGCACACACACACACACACACACACACACACACACACACACACACACACACACACACACACACACACACACACACACACACACACACACACACACACACACACACACACACACACACACACACACACACACACACACACACACACAAAGGAGACAGAAAAGAGGCACTAAACTATAGACCAGTGTCACTGACGTGCATAGTATGGAAAGTCATGGAGAAAATTGTCAGGAGAAGAGTGGTGGAGCACCTGGAACGGAACAAGAGTATAAAAGCCATCCAGCACGGATTTATAGAAGGCAAATCCTGTGTCACAAACCTACTGGAGTTTTATGATAAAGTAACAAAAGTAAGACACGAGAGAAAAGGGTGGGTTGATTGCATCTTCTTGGACTGCAAGAAGGCCTTTGACACAGTTCCTCACAGGAGACTGATGCAGAAGCTAGAGGATCAGGCGCATATAACAGGAAGGGCGCTGCACTGGATCAGAGAATACCTGACAGGGAGGCAACAACGAGTCATGGTACGTGATGAGATATCACAGTGGGCACCTGTGACGAGCGGGGTCCCACAGGGGTCGGTCCTAGGACCAGTGCTGTTTCTAGTATGTGTGGATGGAATGATGGAAGGGTTATACTCAGAAGTGTCCCTGTTCACAGATGATGTGAAGTTAATGAGGAGAATTAAATCAGATGAGGATCAGGCAGGACTTCAAAGAGACCTGGACAGACTGGACACCTGGTCCAGCAACTGGCTTCTCGAATTTAACCCCGCCAATATGCTAAGTTATGAAGATCGGGGAAGGGCAAAGAAGACCACAGACGGAGTATAGGCTAGGTGGCCAAAGACTGCAAACCTCGCTCAAGGAGAAAGATCTTGGGGTGAGTATAACACGGAGCATGTCTCCGGAAGCACACATCAACCAGATAACTGCTGCAGCATATTGGCGCGTGGCAAACCTGAGAATAGCGTTCCGATACCTTAGTAAGGAATCGTTCAAGACACTGTACACCGTGTACGTCAGGCCCATAATGGAGTATGCAGCACCTGTTTGGAACCCGCACTTGATCAAGCACGTCAAGAAATTAGAGAAAGTGCAAAGGTTTGCGACAAGGTTAATTCCAGAGCTAAGGGAAATGTCTTATGAAGAAAGGTTAAGGGAAATCGGCCTGACGACACTGGAGGACAGGAGGGTCAGGGGAGACATGATAACGACGTATAAAATACTGCGCGAAATAGACAAGGTGGACAAAGACGGGATGTTCCAGGGAGGGGACACAGAAACAAGAAGTTGAAGACTCAGATGAGTCAAAGGGATATTAGGAAGTATTTCTTCAGTCATAGAGTAGTCAGGCAGTGGAATAGCCTAGAAAGTGACGTAGTGGAGGCGGGAACCATACATAGTTTTAAGACGAGGTTTGATAAAGCTCATGGAGCGGGGAGAGAGAGGACCCAGTAGCAACCAGTGAAGAGGAGGGGCTAGGAGCTATGAATCAACCCCTGCAACCACAAATAGGTGAGTACAAATAGGTGAGTACACACACCACACACATACGTACATGTATATACACATTACAAGAAGGCGAACTTGCAGACAGTTGGAAATGACAAAAAAATTACTGATATGTAATTCTTAGAAACGTGATAGGCTGATCGCACATACTTTAATTCCAAAAAAGGTTTCCAAAAAGTTCTTTTATGAAAGACAAGACAGAAAACTAAAAAAAAAAAAATAACTGAGATTTAATGTTTACAGAAATGGGAAGACAACAAAAGGGAAAAAATACAGACGTAGCAAATGTGAATAATAAAATTAACAAGCATCAGGACACTCATATACTCTATGTATTTATCTCGCCTCTCTCTCTCTCCTTCAATATTAATGAACCCACCTGACAGGCATCCTTGCCCTCAGCAGCAGCACAAATGATCTTGTTATGTACTTCATTGTTCTGGTACTGAGAGTTATGTTTACACTCCTTGGTGGAGAGTACTCGTACTCTGGCCTCCTGCAGTCCCTCCTCAACGCTTCCACCAAACCGGTTTCTTCCCCACCCAGCTACATAGGCTGGGGGTAAAACCAAGTGTTTTTCATACATATTTCATACATCGCACTGTAGAACCTAATCTATATGACATTTTTGCAAGTTGGAGCAAAAGCCTAAGATTTTTTTTTTACATGAATTTACAGACTAAGAGTTGCTATCCTGCCTAGGCTCATATCAAAATTAGGCCTAATGTATGCTAACCCTTCCCACTTCAGTTTTCAAGGCTCTTCATACAAAGAATTAAGCTATTCGGCCTTTCCTTAGGTAGAGGAGAATGGCCTTAATATGGAGATGCCTTTTTCAAATCATTGAGATAGATGGGGCTGGGCATATAGGATACGGGAAGACCTTTCTCGGATCGCACAGCGACCGAGCAGTCTGTTTACAGTCATAGGAGGAACATCGAACTTGATGGGGTCATCCAGCGCCTGGGGAATGAGAGGCAGTCAGATTTGATCTAAGGATAAGGACTGTAGCTCCGTTTCTTTGAATCAAGAGCCCTTCACAGGCATCCAGGCACCTTGAAGAAGTGTATGAGATCAGTGTTTAATGTGAACATTATGCACAGAATGTGGAGTGAAAAAAATGAGAAGACACAATACACAAATAGCCCGCACATAGAAGAGAGGAGCTTACTACGACGTTTCGGTCCGACTTGAACCATTTACAAAGTCACAAAGTTGTTAAAATGAGTAGACATTTTAGTGATATGAAATGTATAATTTTAAAAAAATGAAAAGCGAGTTATTGATCCTGTTTAGTTATATAGAAAAGTGGAGCTAAATAGGCTGATGAGGAGGGTGGTATTGATCTTGGGTGTGCGGAAGATTTTGGGGGACATCCGAGGAAGATTAAACTCACAATGAAATAAACTTCAAGAATACTTACACTTCTCAAGGGACGATGTTACCCACCATGGAGACAAAACCAGAAAAGAAAATTCATCTGTATATTTCGGCCTCTGGCTTAGATCCTATTCAGCAGGTGCAGAGAATCTCAGAGGCATCCAAACATAGAGACAGACTTTGTTTTTTTCACGTGAGTTACATCGTCCTATATAAAGGTGTTCAATACCAATATTTACCTTGTTCATTTTTATATTTATGTTTGCCAGAAGCGAGACAGACGGGCAGGATTCTCTCGTTGTATTCTATTGGTTGTTGAAGCTTGACCAGCGCGATGTCAAAGTGAGTGACCGCGGTCAAGCTGTACCTGACGGAAATAGTCAAAGTTTATTTCTTATAATTACAGAGTACTGATTTAACTCTGATATTACACTTTTTCGGCACACTGTAGGAAAGCCCCGTGATGTGCGTAGTATTTCGGGCAAGCACAGTTGAAATTAATGTAAATAGTTCATTACCACAGTAACTTGATGAAAATAAATGGTATAAAATACCGACACAATGGAAACATAAACACGTAACTTCTCATCCCAGGTAGATCTGTTTGTGACTTGAAAAAGCCCACTGTGTGGGCGAAACGTTGTCAATAAAGGATCACATTAAACTGCATATGTGTTTATGTTTCCACCACAGTAATTTGTTCAGCTATCAAAACTTTGCGTAATCTTTTAACTATCCCCACAGGATGGTTATGAGGTGCATCATAAAGATATTAAACAACTTAACAAAGCCAGAGTTATGAATTATTGGTCAATGGGAGTTTAAAGGCTATCAACTGCACTAGGGTCATTCAGGCTGCACGTAGCCTTTAAACCAACAGCCAAGACTACTTTAATCCCTAAAATGTGGATTAAAGTACACTGTTAGCAAATATATCCTGAAATACCCCTCTCGGTGTATATATATTCTGAGTGTAAATTCATATACATCATTAAGGGAGACATTTGTCAGGTGTGCATTCAGAATTAAATAAAAAATGACCAACGTATTTTTAATTAAGCAATGTTGTACCACCTGACAGTCCAGCTGATAATGTTGTTAAGGTGATCCAAGAAATTTAACATAATTCACATTTAATGTTAGGAAAACTTGCGTATGTGTCCTTGCACCTTGCAACAGGAAGTCATCAACTTGGACTTCATAAAACCATCAGCATATGCTTCATGAAGCTCTGCTCTGTCACTAATGAAAGACTCTTCATCTAAGGAATTGGAGTTATCCTCCTATTCCTCGGACCAAATTCGAATCCCTCACATTCCCCAGGCGCGCTCTTACCCTTATGGATTTAGCGCTTCCCCGTGAATTTAATGGTTAGAGAAGTCACCTACACGCTAACTGAATTTGTATATACCTAAATAAACTTACTTAAGTAAGCTCAACTCTCCAGTTCATTTTTTTTTTTTTTTAGGTTTCGTAGATCATACAAGACGAACTGTACTCAAAACATGAGCCTTAAGGAAAAATAATTTATATATTGATGGATTTAGTTACACGAGTTAATAAAGCATACAAATATCGAACCCGGGTTCGAATCCGGGTTAGCCGAGTTTAGATCGAATCAGGTGGGTTTGATTCCGGGTTAGCCGGGTTCGGATCTGATTAGCCGGGTTCGGATCTGAGTTAGCCGGGTTCGGATCTGGATTGATTAGCGGGTTTCGGATCTGAGTTAGCCGGGTTCGGATCTGAGTTAGCCGGGTTCGGATCTGAGTTAGCCGGGTTCGGATCTGAGTTAGCCGGGTTCGGATCTGAGTTAGCCGGGTTCGGATCTGAGTTAGCCGGGTTTGGATCTGAGTTAGCCGGGTTCGGATCTGAGTTAGCCGGGTTCGGATCTGAGTTAGCTGGGTTCGGATCCGCGTTAGCCGGGTTCGGATCCGAGTTAGCCGGGTTTGGATCTGCATTAACCGGGTTCGGATCTGAGTTAGGTAGGATTAAGAAATGTCAAAGAATTTTATCCACAGTGGCATATTGCCAACCATTCTGGAAAAATATCCTGACTTTGCCCACTGTAAATAACGCATAACCATTTAAACTTGTTACTTTATTACGAACATACCATACTAAAATTTAAGGTAATGGACACATTATGTACCTCTGTAATTCTTTGACTACCACCCTTCCTGGATGGGCATGAGGTGCATAATAATGATATTAAACTAACAACTGTGCTTGCCGCAGCTCATCCTGTGAGATCTCAAATACCTGGAGAGGGTTTTGGGGGTCAATGCCCCCGCGGCTCGGTCTGAGACCAGGCCTCGTGGGGGATCAGGGTCTGATCAAGCAAGCTGTTACTGCTGGCCGCACGCAAACTGACGTACAAACCACAGCCTGGTTGGTCACGTACTGACTTTAGGTGCCTGCCCAGTGACTTCTTGGAGACGAACAGGGGTCTATTGGTAATCCCCATATGTATGCTGGGAGGCAGTTGAACAGTCTTGGGCCCCGGACACTTATTGTGTTGTCTTCAGTGTACTCGTGGCGCCCCTGCTTTTCATTGGGTGAATGTTGCATCTCCTGCCGAGTCTTTTGCTTTCACATGGAGTGATTTTCGTGTGCAAGTTTGGTACTAATCCCTCTAGGATTTTCCAAGTGTATATTATCACGTATCTCTCTCGCCTGAGCTCCAGGGAATACAGATCAAGGGCCTTCAACCGGATTACAGAGGTCACAATGGGTCTTTGTCAGACCCCGCTGACCACTGTTACATCACTAGACAGGAATATTAAACATTCCGTATTTCACAGTTACTTCATTTAGTTGTTATACGAAGAACAATAAGGTAGACAATCTGAAAAAAATATATGTTATTTCTGCTATAAAACATAAACAAAATATTGGTTATAACTGGGTTACAAGCTCTGTAAAGACAACTTGTTCATCTAATCGATGAAAATGTGGATATAACCACAAAATTTCAGATATCTTATCATAACAGTGAGGTTTTTTTCTTTTAACATATCCTGTAAGGTATTTATGGAGGTGTCTCTGAAAGGTTGGATGTTTGGAGACTCTGAGATATACTCCAGTGTATGACCCACCAGCCGGTTCAAACCCAACCTGCCGTGTGTGTGGAGTGTGGGATGTGGGGAAAAGGTTGATGCCAATTGGTATACGTGTATTACCTGGGATGAAGGAGGATCTCCTGGACTGGCACTTCCACTGCCTGGGTGCCACTCCTGGTCGTCTCTCCCAGCCGTATAATCACCTCTTCTGCCCGACGACTGTGAAAGGTAGAATATATTTTAGATACTGTGTTCATCAAGAACTGCAAGAAGTTAAGGAGCCTGAAAGCCCCTTTCAGGCTCCTTAACTACTAGATCAAAAATAATTTTGTGTGGGACAATAACATGTTAGAAGTAGTACGAACGAAACCGAATGCAGAAAATAAAACTGAAGTAAGTGCTGCATAATCTGGCCTCACCAACACTTGCTCTTCTTCTGCTGACTCACCACAAATGTACAAAAGATGTAGCTTCTACACTGTCCGTATTTAGGTTCGTTTGTGCTATTTATTGCCTAGTGCTGGAACTAAAAACATACTTGCTAGCTGGCTACTACATATCATAGTATTACGTACCATCTATGGTATCATACCTGCCAGGAACGTTTAACTTACTCCTTGACACAGTGAGCGGCGGTGAGAACGTAGAGGTCACTAACAATGGAACCACCGCAGAATATGAACCCTGTGCTCTTGAGCTTGAAGGCTGCCATCCATGGGAACTGTTCTATCTCCGCTGGCTGCCCTCCTACGATCTTTGAGGTGAGACGCAAGCCGCATCCTGCACGAGGAAAGGGGCAGAGTTTACACCATAAATACACCGAGAGAGGTCTATATCGAAAATACTTATCCTAAATTAACAAATGTGCTTCGCTACATCCAGGTGTATATTCTTCAAGTACTACTCATGCACAGGTCTGTGTACTACACTATGCTTACTGCAGGAGGATTTCTGAATGAGGCTTGGTTCAACACTGTGGAACACTGCCCCTTCAAAAATGCTGGTAACGTTGGTTCTCCTTGTGTTGGTGTTACTGTTGCTGCTACTGTTATTGTAATTACTACTGTTGCTCTCTCCTTCGCCATCCTCGTCAGTGTTGTGGATCATCCCTACAGAGAGAAAAAATACAAATATCACCTACATATCCCACACCGTCTTCTGCCTCGCCAGCCAGGGAGGGTCGTAGCCCCAGCCTGCCTGGGGCTACGACCCATCACTTAATGCGATAGACTGATTACATTTGCTTGCCCGAAATGTTCTGCGTGAACATGGACTTTCAACAAGCTCTCAAGTGTCACCCAATTCTGTATTAAGAATGTATCATGTTGAGATAAACTTGTATTTGCATATCAGACTGCCTCTCTACTTTCATCTACCACCAACACTGATGTCTCCAGTAGTGTCAATCATCACTGTGTTTGATGAAGCCTGCAGCGCGGGCGAAACGTTTCGTCAAGAAAAGGCACATGTGTCTTAACAAATCTTTAATATTAGAGACTAGGATTCACGGTGCAATAACTTTGCAAGCAATGAAAGTTATCAACACGGACAGACCTTTAAAATGTTCGGAACTAGACGCACCGTAAACTTAAGTAAATATTGCAGCCTTTCAAAGGTGGGCTCTTGATCCAAGGAACTGACGCTACCCTCCACTTCTTTGGTTTAGATCTGATTGCCCTTCATTCTCCATTCGCTGCATGACTACTACGGGTTTAGAGCTTTAGTACGATATTAATGATGATGACAATGATAATGACAACAATAATAATAATATAATAATAATAACAATAGTAATAATAATAATCAAGGTATATGAAGGCAGGTGACTGATCTACTTAATAAATAATAAACTTTATATCTACAAAGTTCAATTTACAAGTGATTCTGGAATGTTTAACATTACTGACATACTTTACAGAAAGCACCTGGTTATGTAAGAATATATTGGTTACCCTTAAAATCAACTCATAAAACTGCCTATAACTTATAATACTGGATTTTTTTTCGTAAACTAAATGATATATCGTTTGTAGTGGTTATTACGAACGTTGGTCAGGCGCAAATGCTACTTCTAATCTATATTTTTTTACATGACGAGGTAGACAAATCTAATAGGTGCTTGATGACAGACTTTACGACAACTCTGAAGCAACGGACGACCTGATCGTCTACACTAGTGGGCCAGTTATATGAATTTACTGTAATATCTTAATGATGTAGTTGTACCCAATGGGGGTTAAACAAAGACCCATTGTGATTCTGTCTTGTACCACCTCTCACAGGATGAGCTGTGAGTGAGCAGTGAAGGAGCGCCTCACAGGATGAGCTGTGGGTGAGCAGTGAAGGAGCGCCTCACAGGATGAGCTGTGGGTGAGCAGTGAAGGAGCGCCTCACAGGATGAACTCGTACGGCCTCAGGGCTGTCGTAACATTTAATAATAATAATATCTTTATTTCCTACAAGTACATGTTATACAGTCCTAGGTGACATCAGTAACATACTACTATATAGAGAGCCCCTTGTTATGCTGAACATTTCGGGCAAATTAGGTCAGTGTCCCAGGATGCGACCCATACCAGTCCACTAACACCCAGGTACCCATTTTACTGATGGGGAACATAGACAACAGGTGGAAAGAAACACGCCCAATGTTTCTACTCTGGCTGGGAATCGAACCCAGGCCCTCGCTGTGTGGAGCGAGAGCTTTAACCACCAGGCCACCAGATCCCCTAATCATGTCTGATTAGAGCTCCAAAAAGAAGCGCTAAACCACAAGGGCTATACAGTGCTGCTCATTTAACCGTAAAACAACAGTATTACTAATGAAGGCTCATACAGTCCCAAGACCGCCATAACCTTTAACCTAAAATCAATGGAACGGCAATTGGGGTTCATACAGCCCCAGGGCCGTTGGGTGTCATACTGCCCCAGGGCTAGCTCACACACTGAGGTCCGGAGTTTGAATCTCCTCCGGTACAGCTGTGAAACATTAGGAACGTGTTTCCATAAGCCATCTGTTGTCCTTGTTCATCCATCAGTAAAATGGGTACCTGGGTGTTAGTCTACTAGTGTGGGTCGCATCCTGGGACAAAACTGACCTAATTTGCCCGAAATGCTCTGCATAACAAGGGGCTTTCTATATAGTAGTATGTCATTGATGTCAGCTATGGTCTGTATGCCTTGTACATGTACTTGTAGTAAATAAAAATATTATTATTATTATAATTATTATTATTATTATACAGCCCCAGGGCAGTTGAGGTTCATGCAACCCTTTAACCCAAAAGCGGATGGGGTTCATGCGGCACTAGGACCGCCTTTTCCTTTAACCCCAAAAAAGTATGGCAACCATCGAGGGTTTCTCGTGACGCTATGGTATATAACACCGACAAATTTATAAAAGAAATATTTATGCAACGTTAGGTAACTTTATTATGGAAACGTTTCACCCACCAAGGATTTTATCAGCTCAATAAAAAAAAGAGAAAAATATACTAGCATGAATGTCAGTTGTAGTGCAGATGTCCGGGTAAACAAAGTGGTTAGGGAAGTCAGCTGACGGCTGGGTCCTGACGTCTTAAACTCAGCTTAGCCCAAACTCTGGAGGTATTGAAGGTGCATTTATGTAAACCTTGTTGGTAAGTTTGGTATCATTCCACTGTATCAAGAGGTTGTGGTTATTGCTGTGAATAACAGAAACATTATTAAAATATTACCAGTGCGGCAGACGTATTTAGGCTCAGTGTAAGTGTCGATCTGTCTCCTGGAGTCTACCTGGAGGGTGTTCCAGGGGTCGGCGCCCCCGCGGCCCGGTCCTTGACTAGATCTCTCTGAGATCTAGTCAAGGACACCCACAAGTCTAACTGAAACCAGCTCGGTTTCAGTTAGACTTGTGGGTGTCCTTCCGGTTGAATTCCTAACGGTAGTGCTATTATTTGTGGCTACTTTAAGCTTTCACTTAGAGACAAATCTTTCCTGAGATTTGTTAAGCTTGGGAATAATGATGATTCGCAGAGCAGATCACGATGTCTACAGTCATTAATGAATGAGAGGGTAAGAACAGTTTTGCGAAGACCTGGTTGATGTAGCTATATTCCTCCTCAAGGTGCTCAGGACCATGACCGGACAGATGACCAAAGGACACTTGGCCGACAGACATTTGACCGAAGGACAATTGGCAGAACGGACATTGCGCCGACAGACATTTGGCCGAACGGATAATTAGGTTAGGTAGGTTATCAGTGCCAGTTAGCCATATGGCCATTCAGTGAAATGTCCGTCGGCGGAGTGTCTGTTGGCCAAATGTGCGGGAGTCCTCAGGACTACTTACCCTGGGAGGCACTCAGATACCAGTGACAATTCCACGTTTCGTCCTGTTATGGTCCGAGTGGAACTGCCTTAAATCGTCCTTATTAGTGTGCTTCCGGGACACGTTGAAAAACTGTTTATTTCTAAATTTACAAGTATAAAGCATAAGAGTACATCGACGAAAGGTTATTTGTCTTCACGTTTCTCTTCCAGTGTGTATTTAATATGAGACTCAATTGTATCGAGTCTATGTTGCATGTGACGCATAACGTTACTCTTAGTTGCTATGACGATGTCATCGACACAGCAACCACGTCATGTTGTTGGAAATGGAGTGATTTTTTTTCCCACACAACGATCATAGAAACAAGAGAGGAATGAACACTAACTTCTGCCTGAGAGTTTATAGGATTTCCATCACATGCATGTTATAGAATGGAAATATAAACACATATGCAGTATAATGTGATCCTTTATTGACAACGTTTCACTCACACAGTGGGCTTTTTCAAGTCACACACAGATATACCTGGGGTGGAAGGTAAGATAAGATAAGATTTCGTTCGGATTTTTAACCCCGAAGGGTTAGCCACCCAGGATAACCCAAGAAAGTCAGTGCGTCATCGAGGACTGTCTAACTTATTTCCATTGTGGTCCTTAATCTTGTCCCCCAGGATGCGACCCACACCAGTCGACTAATACCCAGGTACCTATTTGCTGCTAGGTGAACAGGACAACAGGTGTAAGGAAACGTGTCGAAATGTTTCCACCCGCCGGGAATCGAACCCGGGCCCTCCGTGTGTGAAGCGGGAGCTTTAGCCACCAGGCCACCGGGCCTGGTGGGAGTATTTATAGTCATGTTCAGAATGTTGAGGTCAGGTGGAGAATGCTGCATCTGTTTATCTACCGGGTGGGGTTATAGAGTCTTGGGTAGCTTTGGGAGGGGTATTGGACAAGTTGTGAGTTAGACCTTTTGCCCGTGTTCTATGTTCTTATGTGGGATAGCGATGAAGAAGTTTCTTGGCGAGTGGTTCAGCTATGTTATGAAAGCCGTTGTTCTGGTTGGGAAAATTTTTGGTTATAGAGATAAACGATGATTCCAGGATTCTTCTGTATTGAGTGTTGTCTTCTGTGGCTATAAGTCTTGAGTTTCTGTAGTTAATTAAATGGTTGTGTGAATTGCGATGTTGTACACAGGCATTCCTTGTATCGTCAGTCCTGCTTGCATATTGGTGTTCTGAAATACGTGTTTGGAGTCTCTTGATGTTTCGCCCACATATAATTTGTTGCAGTCATTACAAGGGATTATGTATACCCCTGCAGAGGATGGAGGCTTGTCCTGTCTACTACTGGTGATGTCCTTGATGGTCGTGGTTGTGGAGGTAGATACTTGGAATGATGTATTGGAAAAGATGTTGGAAACATGTTTGGCAATGGAGTTGATGGGGAGGACTATGTATCTCTTCTCGGCAGTCTTCTCTGGGTGTGTTGAAGATGTTTAAAAGCCCGCCGTCTGCAGTCTCTGATGAAGTGACGAGGATAGTGGAGTTTAGAAAATACTTGTTCAATTATAGTGCATTCTTCCTCAAGGAACTCATTGCTGCAGATTCTGAGTGCACGCAGGAAGAAGCCTATAATTACACCACGTTTGGTTTTGGTGTCGTGGTAAGAGTAGAAGTGGAGAAGATCGTTTTGGTTGGTGGGTTTTCGATAGACTTTAAAACGAAGTTCGTGGTCAGCTTTGCAGAGCAGGACATCAAGTAAAGGAAGAGTGTTGTCGACTTCTTCTTCAAGTGTGAACTGGATTGAAGGCTCGACCTGGTTGAGCTTGTCTTGGAGAGCTTGAACGTTGAAGCGTTTAGGAGTTATGAGGAGAATGTCGTCAACATAACGGAGCCAGTAGATGAATGGTTCAGAGAACCGACATGTTGATAAATTAGACACATGTGCAACTCTTGGGTATCTTTATTGAGGAAACGTTTCGCCACACAGTGGCTTCATCAGTCCATACAAAGGAGAATCTTGAAGAACAGGAGGAGAATGAGGTAATCAGTCCATCAACCTTGAGTCGATGTGGTCAGTCCATCAATCTTGAATAGAATACGGCATACGTGCTGAGAAGGAGCTTATAAACCGTTGGCAGGAGAGGTGCAGCAGTCATAGGTCGTGTAACATTTGTTCAATGTTGATCTTAATACTTGGGAATTCTTCGCTTGCCTATTTCTTGGGCACGACCTACTTCAACATTGAACAAATGTTACACGACCTATGACTGCTGCACCTCTCCTGCCAACGGTTTATAAGCTCCTTCTCAGCACGTATGCCGTATTCTATTCAAGATTGATGGACTGACCACATCGACTCAAGGTTGAGGGACTGATTACCTCATTCTCCTCCTGTTCTTCAAGATTCTCCTTTGTATGGACTGATGAAGCCACTGTGTGGCGAAACGTTTCCTCAATAAAGATACCCAAGAGTTGCACATGTGTCTAATTTATCATCATAACGGAGCCAGGTGACAGACGAAGGAATAATGGTGGAGAAACGTTCGGCTTCTAGATGTTCCATGTATAGGTTGCCAGGACCGCACTGAGTGGCGAACCCATGGGTAGTCCAAAAGTCTGCTGAAAGAGGTGATTTTCGAAATAGAAACACGTAAAGCCAACACATAGTTCAACAAGGTCGATGAAATCGCTGGCTGGAATGGGAAGATCAAGTGAATCGTCAATTTTCCTGCGCAAGAGATCGATGGCTTGTGTAGTAGGTACTTTGGTGAATAGGGAAGTCACGTCAAGGCTGGAAAGTTGCTTGCCTGATGTTGATGTTGCGAATGCGATTGAGAAGATCACCGGTGTTTGAGATGTCTGGACTGATAGTGCCCAAGGTTTGAGAGGTGTTTGCGAAATTCCTGAGCACTATAATTGAACAAGTATTTTCTAAACTCCACTATCCTCGTCACTTATCAGAGACTGCGACGGCGGCATTAAAATTTCAACACACCAGAGTAGACACTGCCGAGAAGTGTACTTGTCCTCCCACCAACTCCATTGCAAACTGGTTCGAACATCTTTTCCAATAATCATTCAAGTATCTACCTCCACAACAGACCTATGACATACCAGTTGTGACAGGACAGCCTCCATCCTCTGCAGGGGTTACATAATCTTAATGACTGCAACAAATTATATGTGGGCGAAACATCAAGAGACCTCCAAACACGTATTTCAGAACACCAATATGCAAGCAGGACTGACGATACAAGGAATGCCTGTGTACAACATCGCAATTCACACAACCATTTAATTAACTACAGAAACTCAAGACTTATCGCCACAGAAGACAACACTTAATACCGAAGAATCCTGGAATCATCGTTTATCTCTATAACCAACAATTTCAACCAGAACAACGGCTTCTATAACATAGCTGAACCACTCGCCAAGAAACTTCTTCATCGCTATCCCACATAAGAACATAGAACACTGCAGAAGGTCTACTCACAACTTGTCCAATACCCCTGCCAAGCTACCCAAGACTCTATAACTCGGTAGATCATCAGATGCAGCATTCTCCACCTGACCTCAACATTCTGAACATGACTGTAAATACTCCCGTACCTTCCACCCCAGGTATATCTGTGTGTGACTTGAAAAAGCCCACTGTGTGGGTGAAACGTTGTCAATAAAGGATCACATTATACTGCATATGTGTTTATATTTCCACTGTGTCGGTATTTGATACCATTTATTTCCATGTTATAGAATGGGCATTCTATAACATACTAAAAGCATAATCAAATCACTTCTATATTTCGACGACTGAATGCTAAAGAGTTTCAACACAGCCAGAAGGTCTCACCTGAGCTGAACTCTACGTGTCTTTTTCCACATTCTGTCGTAATCATCATACAATCTTTCAATAACAAGTGGCGTTTTTCATTTAGTTAGAGGTGTGTGGGGGCACTTACCTGGGATATTTCCATGAGTAGACACAGAGCCTCCGTCAGTTCCAGTGTCCTCCTCCATTTGTACGTTTGGCAAGGGTGGGAGAGTGTGTCCTGGCGTAGGTTGTACGTCTGGCAGGGGAGGAAGAGTGTCTCCTGGTGTCGGTTGTACGCCTGGCAGGGGAGGAAGAGTGTCTCCTGGCGTCGGTTGTACGCCTGGCAGGGGGGGAAGAGTGTCTCCTGGTGTCGGTTGTACGTCTGGCAGGGGAGGAAGAGTGTCTCCTGGTGTCGGTTGTACGCCTGGCAGGGGTGGAAGAGTGTCTCCTGGCGTCGGTTGTACGCCTGGCAGGGGGGGAAGAGTGTCTCCTGGTGTCGGTTGTACGTCTGGCAGGGGAGGAAGAGTGTCTCCTGGTGTCGGTTGTACGCCTGGCAGGGGAGGAAGAGTGTCTCCTGGTGTCGGTTGTACGCCTGGCAGGGGTGGAAGAGTGTGTCCTGGTACCGGCTTCCCCTCAGGCACTCTTATTACGGGAACTGAGTTTGTACTACCTTGGGATATCCCTGTGTTTATCCATGAGACAGTGTTGCCATGGTGTGCCCCTGTGTTTGTTCCTGGGGTTGTACCGTTTATGTGTATCCATATAACTTCTGAGTTTGAACTGGCCTGGGGTTTTCCTGTGTTTATTCCTGGGACCGTGCTTATCTGGACTAACCCGGTGTTTGTCCCTGGGTGTGTACTGTTCTGATGTATCCCCGGGTGTGTGCTGTTCTGATGTATCCTCGGGTGTGTGCTGTTCTGATGTATCCCCGGGTGTGTGCTGTTCTGGTGTATCCCCGGGTGTGTGCTGTTCTGATGTATCCCCGGGTTTGTGCTGTTCTGATGTATCCCCGGGTGTGTGGTGCTCTGTGTCCCTTGGTGTGTGCCTGATACTACGCTGTTTTGGTGGATCCCTGTGTTTATCTCTGAGACTGTGGTGCCCTGGAATAACCCAGTGTTTATCACTGAAGTTGCGCTTCCCGACAGTATCCCTGTATTTACTCCTGAGCCTAATTTATCAGAATGCAACGGATCGAAGATAGTGATGGGGTCGCGATCGAACCAAGTACTAAGCCCATCGTCTGGGCGAGGCGGCTCGTGTCTAGAGAGGAAAGATTCCTCACTAACACCGTGAAGGTCACTGGTTTGTTCTTGTGTTTCTGGTGGAGGGATGAGGAGGCCGGGAGAGTAATGCAAGGCACCGTCCTCTAACACTTCGTGTTGAGTACCTGCGTTCTCGGGTTCCCCCGTGTTAAGGGAAAGTCCGTGAATATGGGATTAGTGTAATGGTGTGAGATGCTGTGTTGGTTAGAGTTGAACGTTTGGGGTTTCTGTTCACTTTCTGACCACCTATCACTTCCATCCTCATAGGTACTTAGTGGTTTCGCTGATGAGTTGTTCTTAAGACTCGCGTCTTCATGCTCTAGGTGAGTAACTGATGGTGTAGAGTGTTCGTTGTCTTCACGATCGATTTTAATATATTCTCCATTGTGTTGCAGAAGAGCTTGGTCACTTTCGTGTGTGTACACTGCAAGTGGTACTGTGGTAGTCCCGATAGCTTGTTGAGAATCATAATGTTCCCCGTCTTCTGGTTTATCGGAATCATTAGTGTTAGGGTTAGACAAGATGCCAAAAAGTTCTGCCATAGCCTGGTTGAGTGCCAGTTGGTCCTCCTGCTCTATGGCACCGTGCAAAGTATCCTGTTTCTCGTGATGCTTAAGTTCCTCCTCTCTGAGTGCCAGGATCTCCTCCGGGATAATAAAGAGAGGCTGTTCAGTCGGAGGTTGTTGGGATTCTGTGAAGGTATCTTCCTCTTCGTCTCTGTTACCGTAGGGTGGCGTCGCTTCTTGCTCAGTTATGTCATGCTTCAGCAGGATGTTTGAGTCAGTGGTGATCTGTTGTTGGACAGTAGTGTCAGTAAGGTCCTCCTCTTGGCCAGCAGTATTAGCAAGTGTCATTTGCAGGACTAACGATTCAGTAACAGTTTCCTGTTCGACAGACGATTCAGTAACTGTCTCATATTGGTCAGACGATTCAGTAACTGTCTCCTGTTGGACAGTCACTTCACCAACTCTGTGCCATTTGTCGACAGAGTCAGTAACACCTTGCTGATTATTAGAGTCAAAAATGTTAACTGTCGAACCATTAACAGCTTCTCGTTGGTTATTCAAGTCAGCAATGGTGTTCCACTTTTCAGTTATCTCAGTAACTGTATTCTGTTGCTCAGTCTTTTCAGTAACAGTATCTTGCTGATCAGTAGGATAAGTAGTTGTATCACGCTGATTAATTAAATCACTGACTATCTTTTGTACGATGTCTGAGTGGAAATTTTCGTCTACTTGTGTAGTTACTGTTGGGTCACTGGCGTCTTGGAAAGCTACTTGCGCTGCATTACGGTCAGCGCCTGAGAGTCTTGCGTCAATGGGAGCTTTGAGGTGACCCTCTATCTGGCCGGTGTCTTTCTTAGAGACTTCCTGAACCAGCAGCGAGGAACTAGCGGGAGAACTCTGTTGTTGGTTTGTTAAAGTGTCGTCGCTGAAGTCGTGGGTTTCAGAATAAAATGGCAGCTGGCTGCTGTCATGGATCCAGTGCTCGTTGAAACCGTTCACCCCATGTGAATTGTCAGCACTTTCCTGTAGGTCATATGGCTCGAGAGGTGCCTCACCTACTGGGACGGGAAAAGGAGCAGGATCACTATTTAATAACGGGTTGTAATCTCCGCTGTTAGCGAAAAGCGCATCATGGTGGCCAGAGTCCTTGGGTACCATATGCATTACCGACATACCTGCGAAGCCTTCGTTATTGGTTATAGCCGTTGGACGGTCAATGGAACTATCCGACTGCTGGGTGGAGTAATGCAGCATCTCATCATGAGGGATGGGTGCGCGGTCGTTGGGCTTCCCGCCCGCCGTCGAGTGCAGTGCAGTTACGATGTGGTGAATTTTCTGTGACACCTGACTGATATCTGGATTCTCCACGGAGTAGTAGAAGGGCGGAGAATTGGCAAAGGAAGTATCATCGTTCAAATGAATCCCTGCAGCCTCTGCAAGATTAAATGGTGGCGTTGCTACGCCGAACATGTGCTGATCCCCAGTCGTATAGTGCTGAGGCATTATGCTAATGCCCACTTTGCCGTCAGGGGTGGAGAGGAAGTCGCTGGTAGAGGTGAGGTAGTCTTGGGGATCTAGGCGGTGTGGTGATTCCCAGATCTGAAACTGACCCTGTTCTAGGGTGGCATCTCCAGCCTCTTCTGGCCTCTGGACGGTGTCATCGGCTGGGGTTCCTGACGTCGGGGCACTGCCCCGGCGTAAGGGCATGCCCTGCCTGAGGTGATCCAGTAGCGGGGAATTGTAACCGAGGGCAGAGCCATCTACCATGATAGTTGTGTCTCCTAGTATGTAAGGCACCAGAACTGCCTCAGTGCCTCCTGCTGCCACTGTTAACCAAAACACAAGTAACAGAGCCATATTTCGCACACGCACTGCTGTTTCTCACTTCATATAACTGTCAGAATTTATAATTCTATTCCGTAATGTACACTTGCTACACTCGGCAATAACTCGTACATCCTTGATACCAGAAAAAAATTCAAACTACAATTGAGTCACTTGATGAGGAAGTTTGAGAAGGAATTTCGAGGCGAGCGTTGCTGAGCGTGGGTCGCACTCCACCGTCCCCATCACCGACTGTGACGACGGTCTGAGAGAGAGTGGGTTCCGCCACCTGGAGCCTCTCCTGACCCACTCTCGCCCACACCGCCACCACCCACCACCACTACCACTACTACCCTCCCATCACAACTAGATCCACCACCATCATCATAACCACATCCACCACCGCCCCACCACCATCATAACCACATCCACCATCACCACTACTGACACAACCACATCTACCACAATCCATCACGGCTTTTAAAACTACCACCATCACCACCACCACCAGCAGCACTATATTCACCGAACTACTTCAGTGGCCTCTGTCATCACCACCAACATTATCTATATTCCCTCCTTCACATACGTTAAAATTCAAGTGTGCAGCTCACCCCCCACTCGCATCCCCTCTAGTCTCCTCCACTTACCACTTCCACGATACACTTCATTTTTATACCTTTCTAGCTCATCCTGGTGTCATGTGAGTGCGTGCGTACAAATATCTGTCTGTGTTGGCCCCTCTTTTTTTCCTCAACTAGTATAATTAGTTTTCAACTGTGTCATAGTTACAGCAGACAGCTGCATGCAGCAGCTCGTCTCACTGCTTGGTACAGCAGTAACAGCTGTAATATTGAATAAGCACTTTGACAGCATAGGTCACTCAACGCTAGTATCAATTAAAATTTTAATTCTAAGCATCACACATAATCAAAATAAAGATTAAATTAACAGATAATGGAAGCTACGAACATGTATAAAATGCTTAACACAAATGAATAATAATCATGATAATCTTATGCTGAGACTTTGTTGTAATATCTGATTTAGAGATTACAATAATTTGGTCATGTAAGGACCAGGTTACGTGCAACATTAAGAGGCGCCTGAGTTTCCTCTCTCCTAATATTCTTATTTTTCTCCTATAATCTACCTTGTCCTTATTTATTATCGTATTTTCTTTGTCTACTTTCTTAAGGTGAAGTCTGGGATGTTTCCTTAATTCATGGTATAACTTAAGAAAGCAAATGCGATAGTAACTATGAACAAGGTAGATTATAGGGGAAAAATAAACATGATAACAGAAAACAGAAAACTGACGTGCAGCGTTAATGACTCAAATGTAGTAGATAGGATTTAAACCCCATTAACCAACCTACTTATGCCACAAGATCGTCCCAATATTTCCTCTTAGCCATCCATGAGTTAGTGTTTATTTTCGTTTTTCACTTCTCGCTCTCAGTGATGGAAAATTTAATTATCAAGTTTTCTTCCCAACTCGTATTTATTAATTCTCGAATCCATGTTATTTAATATCTTAACTTTGTTTATATTTTATTAATGTGTGACCTTAAATACTGGTCCCAAAAGTTACACTGGTTTTATTGCCTTATATTAGCTTAAATATATATAATACACCATTTGTTTATTCCTGTACATGTATGTATCCTCAGGAATATATGTATGTATCCTCAGGAATGTATGTATCCTCAGGAATATATGTATGTATCCTCAGAAATACATGTATGTATCCTCAGGAATGTATGTATGTATCCTCAGGAATATATGTATGTATCCTCGGAAATACATGTATGTATCCTCAGAAATACATGTATGTATTCTCAGAAATACATGTATGTATCCTCAGGAATACATGTATGTATCCTTAGGAATATATGTATACTCAGAAACACATGTATGTATCCTTAGGAATATATGTATCCTCAGAAACACATGTATATATCCTTAGGAATATATGTATCCTCAGAAACACATGTATGTATCCTAGGAATATATGTATCCTCAGAAACACATGTATGTATCCTCAGGAATATATGTATCCTCAGAAACACATGTATGTATCCTCAGGAATATATGTATCCTCAGAAACACATGTATGTATCCTCAGGAATATATGTATCATCAGAAACACATGTATGCATCCTCAGGAATATATGTATCCTCAGAAACACATGTATGTATCCTCAGGAATATATGTATCCTCAGAAACACATGTATGTATCTTAGGAATATATGTATCCTCAGAAACACATGTATGTATCCTCAGGAATATGTATCAAATCATGTACTGTATCCTCAGGATATATGTATCTCAGAAACACATGTATGTATCCTCAGGAATTATGTATCCTCAAAACACATTATGTATCCTCAGGAATATATGTATCCTCAGAAACAGTAGTATCCTCAGGAAATATGTATCCTCAGAAACATGTATGTATCCTCAGGGATATATGTATCCTCAGGAAACTGATAACTTCAGAAAATTATGATCCTCAGAAACACATGTATGTATCCTCGGAATAAGTATCCTCAGAACACATGTATGTATCCTCAGGATATTTGTTCTCAAAAACTGTGTATCCCAGGAAATATGTATCCTCAGAAACACATGTTTTGTATCCATAGAATAATGTTCTCAGAAATACATGGTACCTCAGGAATTATGTATCCTCAGAATACAATGTATTATCCTCAGATATAATGCAAATTTCTGCTACTGTATGTCATGTTATTTTGTAAAAGTTGATATTATTATTACATAATTAGGAGCGCTAAACCGTAGGAAGATCATACAGCGCCTTGGGGGAAGGGGGAAAGGGGAGGGGGGAGGGGGGAGGGGGAGGGGGAAGGGAGGGGAGGGGGAAATGAAAGGCATTTAGACTCGACTCAGGGCACTGGGAACACAGCTCCAGTTCCTGGGATCAAGAGCCTGCCTCAGCAGCATCGAGGAACCTCACTATATTTTTACTACTAAATATTGTGTTAACCAACAATGGTGGGCTGAACTCTGTGTTTAACACAATAAATAATGTCTCTTAAAAACCTGGGCCAGTTTTTCCTCTTTCAATGAATTTCGTAGATAATCGAGATGAACTTAAATTCTTCAGCTCATTCCTTTACAAAATTCAAGATTTTATTCCGTCTAGCTCCACTGTTGTATTTTTATTGTATTAATGTTGGTAGAAATACCCACAATATGTTAGGTAAAAGAACACAAATACATCTAATGTGAGAGTTTACCTAATTTATTTTTATTGATGGACATCAATAATATCTCACCTCCTCTCTCGTCCTAATAAAATATATTTTATTTGATCGCTGGGAGCATAAAACATCCTCATTACTAAAACAAAATTCTTCTGGACACTAAACCCGTCCGTTGGACCAGTGTGTCTCTAACGTGTTCGATACAAGGCTTTGTAATGTTCACGTCAGAGAATTCAACAAATTACGTAACAAACTCATCATTACTGTAAGTGAATTCGTAAATTTTGTAATGGATTCAGTTCCTTTAGTACTGTAAGTTGCTTGTCAGAGTCCTGGAACACCGCTCGCAGGATGGTCACTGAGTGCATTATGTAACTAGTAAGCTAATTCTGCTGTTAATGCTGGTGCTGCTGTTGTTGCTGTTCGTGCTGCTGTTGCTGCTGTTTCTGCTGCTGTTGTTGTTGCCATTGTTATCGGCATTCATGGGCTGTACGTACCTTCACTACATGTGGGTTACCTCTCCCCACCCATCACCCGCTCCTGGCCCAACGCCCACGGCCCCAGACCCACCCATTACCCACCCGGGGCCCCCTCGCCAACGGCCCCAAAAAGACAGTCCCGTTACCCGCAGCACCTGGGTTTCTCCCAACCCACCCTCCCGAGCACACACACACACACACACACACACACACACACCCACTCACACACACACACACACACACACACACACACACACACACACACACACACACACACACACACACACACACACACACACACACACACACACACACACATACACACACACACACACATGGCCGTATATTATTATGGATCAGAGGATACCTGACGGGAAGGCATCAGCGAGTCATGGTACGTGACGAGGTGTCAGAGTGGGCGCCTGTGACGAGCGGAATTCCACAAGGGTCAGTCCTAGGACCAGTGCTGTTTTAGATATATGAAAATAGCTTGACGGAAGGTATAGATTCAGAAGTGTCTCTGTTTGCAGACGATGTAGAGTTAATGAGGAGAATTCAATCGAGGTGGACCAGGCAGAACTACAAAGGGATCTGGACAGGTTGCAGACTTGGTCCAGAAACTGGCTCCTGTAGTTCAAACCCAACAAGTGTAAAGTCATGAAGATTGGGGAAGGGAAAAGAAGACCGCAGACAGTGTACAGTCTAGGGGGGACCAAAGACTACAAACCTCACTCAAGAAAAAGGATCTTGGGGTGAGTATAACACCGAGTATAACACATCTGAGGCGCATATCAACCATGTGCTGCAGCACATGGGCACCTAGCAAACCTAAGAATAGCATTCCAACATCTCAGGAGTCGTTCAAGACTCTGTACACCTTGTACGTCAGGTGCATATTGGAGTATGCAGCACCAGTTTGGAACCCACACCTGGCCAAGTACGTCAGGAAATTAGAGAAAGTGCAAAGGTTTGCAACGAGACTAGTCCCGGAGCTAAGGGGCATGTCCTACGAGGAAAGGTTAAGGGAAATCGACCTGATGACACTGGAAGACAGGAGAGATAGGGGGATATGATAATGGCATACAAAATACTGAGAGGAATCGACAAGGTAGACACAGACAGGATGTTCCAGAGATGGGACACAGCAACGAGGGGTCACAGTTGGAAGTTGATGACTCAGATGAATCACAGGGATGTTAGGAATTACTTCTTCAGTCAGAGCTGTTAGGAAGTGGAATAGTCCGGAAAGTAATGTAGTGGAGGCAGGATCCATGCATAGCTTTAAGAAGAGGTATGATATGGAGGTATGGAGCAGAGAGATAGCAACCTAGTAGCGACCAGTGAAGAGGCGGAGCCAAGAGCTATGACTTGACCCCAGCAACCACAATTAGGTGAGTACACACACAGCCTGACCCAACCCACCTGACTTCCCATCCAGGATACACTTTTCCCACCCACCCATGCAACAAACCTAGCAAGCCCCTAGCCACTCCTGCAACAAATCAATCAAGCCTCTAGCCACTCCTGCAACAAACCAAGCAAGCCCCTAGCCACTCCTGCAACAAACCTAGCAAGCCCCTAGCGATTCCTGCAACAAACCAAGCAAACCTCTAGCCACTCCTGCAACAAACCTAGCAAGCCCCTAGCCACTCCTGCAACAAACCAAGCAAACCTCTAGCCACTCCTGCAACAAACCTAGCAAGCCCCTAGCGATTCCTGCAACAAACCAAGCAAACCTCTAGCCACTCCTGCAACAAACCAAGCAAGCCTCTAGCCACTCCTGCAACAAACCAAGCAAGCCTCTAACCACTCTGCAACAAACCAAGCAAGCCTCTAGCCACTCCTGCAACAAAACAAGCAAGCCTCTAGCCACTCCTGCAACAAACCTAGCAAGCCTCTAGCCACTCCTGCAACAAACCTAGCAAGCCTCTAACCACTCCTGCAACAAACCTAGCAAGCCTCTAACCACTCCTGCAACAAACCTAGCAAGCCTCTAACCACTCCTGCA